TTTTTTTTTCAAAAATAACTTTGTGCTCTGAAATTATTTGGGCTTTTTTCCCTTTTTTTCGAATTACTATCGATGTTACGTCAACTAATTGATTAATCTGTTTTCTTCACATTTTTGTTTAGATGAAGTAATTCGGTTGTAAATGGTTTCTTCTGAAATTTTTCACAATATTTTATAATCTGAACATAACATTCATTTGGAAATTTGCTACTGTTAATGCTGTTGCTGCTTCTGCTTCTGCTTATGACGACGATGATGACGCTGATGCTGATGGGTGAAATTTTTTGAATGGGCTTATCCACTTCAAGTCGATCAACGTGATCTTCCTATAGGGCTCTTGAGACTACACTGTTGTTATTATTGTCCGTTGTCGCTGCCGTCGTTGTTATTGTCGTCGTAGTCGGCGTTGCCTTCGGTCTTCATTGTCGTCGTCGTCGTCGTCGTCATCGTCGTCGTCATCATCGTTACCACCACTATCGTCTCATTGTTGGTAATTGCGATTGTATTGACAAAAACAGCAGTAAAATGCAGCACACAATTTGAGGTTTTCATTACAAATTTCACCTATTCCTTTTTCTGTTCTTTTTTTTTCTCGTTCCTTTTATTGTTAATAAGTTTTTTTTTTTTTCACCTTTAGTAAGATGACAACATAGCGTGTAAAGTTTTAGCTCTAATCGTGACTTGGTGACTTGATTGGTTGTCGAGAAGCGGTAAGACAAAAATTTGAACCCTGTTGAAGAGAGGTGAGATAGGGTGGAAGGAAAATAGGGCTTTTTTTTCTTAAGGAGATATCTTTTTTCACTAAATAGTTTTTCTTTATTCTTCAGCAGTACCTCTATTTCTTCGTCAAAATTTTTTATGGATTATGCAAATAGTGACAACAGTATATTGCAACAGGTAATCGAGAACTAAAAAAGAATTTTTTTTTTCCTAAAAACCAACTATCTTTTATTGTGTACAAAGAACTTGAAGTCTTCTTATTTTATTTTGTTTTTGTTGTTTTTTCTGTCGTTGTCTTTTAACGAAATATGATGCAGTTTAAAATTTATTCGTTGTATTTTTCCAAAGTGATATATGTTTTTAAGTTTGGTTCCGTTTCAGCAGTGTGTTTGTGGATGTTGTTTTGTCTTAGTGTATGCAGAGAAAAATGTGTTAAATAATTGTTGGCAAGAAAAAAGCGTGTATGAGTGTGTATACACATTTATTTGACAATTGGTATTTGCGAGTACATTTTTTAAACTATTTTATACAACTGATCAGTGTTTTTGGGGTAAAATGAAATTTTTCGGTTATAGTGTGTTGTTGTTCAAAT